TCAAGTTTATATTAGGGGGGGGGGGGGGGGGACGACAACAAAAAACAAACACTCCCTCCCTCCATCAAAGAAAAAAAAATATCTATAAACAAAACAAACTCCAAGTATGTTGGTGTAATGCTGTTAGAATTTTAGAAGGGGGATAGAAATAATACATCCTCTTACTGGTAAGATGACTACTAACCACTCAGCCTTCTGCATCAAAGAGTTTTATATAAAAGGATGTATTTTAAAAGAAACAAAACTAACAGCCTAAACAATGTTGAAAAGCTTTAATACTTCTACTGCAATGGGCAGTATAATGGTACTTTGGCTAAAATAATTACAACTTCCTACCTGTTTCTAAATGGAACTGCTGGATTGGTCAAAGCTTATCTGGGATGTAGGATTTTTAGGACAAATACTTGGGTCAGTGTTTTAAAATAATTAAGGTCATTCTTCAAAAGTCTTTGTCCTTCTACATTCAGTGGAGAAACTGCCTGTATCTTAAAACTTTTTAAGGAAGTGGTAATTTGAAACATAGTTATGTTGCCTCTTAAAGTGAATTTTTATTAAAATACAGTTGGTTTAAACTAGTACAACAATTAGTAGTATTATGGAAACTAATTATTTTAAAACTGGTTACAGATCCAAAGACTGAGCTGAGGCTTGAGCAGAGAGAACCACTGAAAGCCAGGATGAAGACCCCAGTAGCACTCAAACAAAGAAGAGTTGTTGAACACAACCAGGTATGTTTAATCTAGTGGCATCTGGAACAGCTGCTAACTGCAGGTGATCTGCTCAATAAACACCTTACTACTTTTAACATAATCAAATTTGACTTGTGGGGGCTATGCTGTTCTTTAAAAGTTCTTTCAGAAACCCTGTTCTAATACAGCATGAAAATCTTGTGAATTTACTATAGCTGCTGGTTTTAACCTATCTGATAACATTCAAAATTATGGTCTGCTAAAAGCTGTTTGTCTGACTTGCCAGCTGCTGTAGCACCATTTAGAGAAAAATAATAGGCAACCTTAACATGTTTAGTTTTGGAAATCTGACAGGTTTTTAAGTCAGATGGGCTGATGTCATCCTGTTGGATGTTTGTAAACAACTTGATTCAATAAAAGAAGCCCTTTTTAAAAAAAAAAGTTTGGAAAAAGATTGGGGTTTTATTTAAACCTCTATCTGGTTTGATACTTATAGATATGTGTGCATTTTAAATACATCTGTTTAATGACTGATTTAAATATATGAAATAATGTACTTTTGTTTATGCCTATATATATACACAGAACTGTGTGTCTGTGTGTACACACGTGTGCTAGCTATCTATATAATTTTTTTTCCTCTACTATGCCTGTAGCAGCAGTACTAGCGTAGACCTTAGTTTGTTGGAAAGTTTCTCCTAAGAGGAGAAATAATAAATAACAAGTTTAAGTCTCGCTGTATGTATGCTTGTCCTTTACTTATAAATATTTAGTTCTGTTGTCTTGGTGAAAGGGGGATTTTACAGAAGCACCTCAGGTTTTCAGACTGATGGCTGAATACTAGATTTGGTAGTTTGTGGCTGATCTGTCCTTGTTATGTGACAGCATCACTAAATACTCAGTTCCCCAGCTTAGATTACTTAGGATCATTACAGTGTTATTCATCTGACTAGTCAGTAGTGGAATTGTGCTACAGTAAAGGACTCGTATAGAAAATATTAAGTGACTCAAAATCTGACCTGGTAATAGCTTCCTGTATTTTAGCAGATCAGTGACTTCTCTTACTACTTTATGGTAAATGCCAGATACTTCCTATTTAGATAGTATGTATGTATGTATACATAAACATGCCTTTGCTATGGATGTCTCTTAAAGCAGGTAATACACTGCTTTGTGAGCTTGGGTAATACAACAGTTATGGAGATTCTTAACTAGTTCTGCTTATTTTTAATTGGATTTTTAGGGTACAAGCTGAACAGATTCCACTTCGACAAATCAAAAACCACACATAGTTCATCACACAAAATATTCCTTAATTTATCAGACAGCTTCTGTTCATGATGGTCTTTATAATGCGCATCTGAATCCTGAGGTTCTTGTATTTTAAGGATTACTTTTTTCTAAATCGCTGTTCACTCAGAAATCCTGCCAACCTCAGTGTAATAGAGGTATTTAATTCAGCTATCAACAAACAAAACTTCCTAGTCTTCAGGAATCCACTTACAGAATAAAAGGGCAGAGATGCAGTGATGTATTTTTGTGGCCTTTTATAGTGATGATTGCATATTCAATCTTTTTCATCCAATTTCATGGTAATAACATTGTTATTATTGTGTTTTGTCTTGCAGTCTTTTACGTGTGCAATATAGATGCAATATTTTGTGACTTGTGTATTTTAATTACCAGTAGTTAATTAAAGCAGTATCACTTGATTAATCAAAAAATGATCTCATTTCAGAATGATACCAAATTCTTGAGGAACTCTAACTCCATAGCTTGTTAAACCTTTTACCCTGAGTGATGTGTTTAAAACAAACAAACCCCAAACCCACCAACAGAAATTTAGAGTTGCTTGAAGCCAGTAACAACTCATTGATTTTGGCTAGCAAATGTGTCTGTGTATTTTGCTGAGAATAAAAGTGAAAGATGGGGAAGATGTCCTCTTTTTGTTCCTTCTTCCTGTGAAATCGGATCTTAAATTTGCTGCTAATGTGTCAAGTGGCCATACTCATTCTGCAGAATTATATGTAACTGTCATGCACTGTGTGGCACTGGCTCAAAAACTATGAGGCTCTGAAAAATGGTGGGGGCTGAAACAGTTGGTAGTGTGGTGTAAGCAGACTTGTTAGTCACTTCTAGGTCCTGTGTAGCTCTAGTCTTAGTCCAGACATACACAGCTGGAAAGATTGTCATTTGGTATGGATGGATGTTGCTGTTCTCTTAAGAAAAGTGCAAATAGATAGTCTCTAAGCAGGCTGGTGCAAAAGAAATAGGGTGGGGAGGCTGAGCAGGATTATGGGTTTTATCAGTCAGTTAACAGTGGAGGGCTAGACAAATTTGAGCTTGGCTGTTTGTGCTTACTTGCCTCCTCATAATGAACTGGAAAACTTGGTAGAAAGCCCTAATTTGAATGTGCTCTTCCAATGAAGTAGGTGAATATAGAGTTCAGATTCATAACTGAGCCAAAAGCCTCATAGGAAATGGCACTGTACAGAAAGAGGCAGGCTAAACAGCTTAAATGTTAAGGAGTCCTAGCAACATAAAACTACTTTCTCTCCCTTGAGACTTTGTATAGTGACATTCTGCATGTGCTCTGTTCCCCTACTCCTCCCTGCATTTTTTTGACAGTATAGCTGGGCTTCTTAAAAATAAAACATGCAACATTGCAACTGCTGTCATACAATATTCATGTGGCATGCACCTAGTAAAAAAGTTAAGTGATATCTTAGGCAAAGTCATAATCTATAGCTGTGCTGTTTGTGAGTAATGTGACAGTTAAAAGTACATGCTGAATAGTACTTGTGTACCACACCATTGTAGCTTTCTCTGATTATATACATGGTGTTGGTGTACCTAAACATGAGTATTATATTCTAAAAGTCCAGATATTTGTGAGATAAGCAGACAAGGTCTGCTTAATTTACAGTGAGGATGACTGTAATTATAGACAACGGTTCTTTTTAAAAAAAAAAAAAAAAATAATCTGTTTGGTATGTTCTACTGAAGTCTGAATGGCTCTTACGCATCAGGTTCTGCTTTTTTTCCTAGACTTTTCATGTAAGAAAAAGCTTGAAACTTAGTACTTAAAACACATGTCTGACAACCATCTGAAGAACTAAGGAGAGAGTTGGTTATTTACTGAAATACTTCTAATTTTTTGTTAGAAGTAACCCAATTCCTAGCCAATCAGCCTGGGACAAGGGAGCTCTCCATTAGTGGGATGAGGGAATTGCCTTACTGCTTTCTTGAGTGGAATGTGTTTGAGTGGAACCATTCTGAAACTAGTGTTTTTTTCTAAGCTTCTGAAGCACACCTTTCAAATAGAAAGTGTATGGGGGTGAGGTGGGGAGCCATAATTGAAGGTTGCAGGTTAAGCTGTTCTTAAATAGGGAAGAGAAGCCAGCATCTGGTGAACATACAAAGAGGGTTGGGAGATCTTTCATCAGAAGTCTGTTTAAATTAAATGTTGGAGACTAAGGCTGAAATCTACAATTCAGTAGGAAACATCTGAATCTGTTTGGACTTGAAGTCTGTGCATAATATATATCATTTGGTTTTCAAAGTATTTCAGTGACTTAGGAATCAACCAAAACACTTGTGCTCCCTCTGCTGGATATATAGCAGCTGTAATACAGAACTGTTAAGAATCATAAAGCTGCTCAGCTTCTAGTTTCACTGGAGTAACTTTAAAGATACAAGTGGGGAATGGATAGGGTATTGTTAAACCTGTTTTCACTTCCTGATAAATAAATACTTTCCAGCCTGCTCTCTTAACACATTGTTTTGGGGCTAATACTGTTCCGATGAAGCTATTTCTGCTGTTATACAGACTGGTGCAACTGTCAGGTCTAACTTCCATCAGCACAGAGTGTAACTTTCAAAAACTTGGTAATACATAAATGCATGAGGTGTTAATGTGCAAAGATTTCGGTATTAACATAATATTAATTCTTATTTTTAAACTTAACCAAATAAAAATTAAAATCGTGTATATAATTTAGAAGAGGCAGGCCCTCATCTCCCTTTTCCTCCAGGTCTATATTTGGAATTAGGTTTGAGGAGGACTTTTTTCTTTGAGCATAAGACTTGCAATAAGGCGTAGGGAATGATCTGCCTTTTAATGGCTATGAAAGTTTGGCACTTCATGTTGTTACTTAGATTTGTAAAGATCTGTGCAAGGCTTGATTGTTTAAACCTACTGTTATGTGAAAATTGCGTAAGTTTCATCTGTGCATGTGGAAACTTTTAAGATTATAAAACATGCCCCCCTGCCACCTGTGGCTGGATATTAGTTCCTCTTGAAATAAATGTAGGTGGCTGTGCCTAAACCATTCCCATCTCTGCTTGAGAGAATTAGACCCCTGTCTGGGTAAAGAACAAGGTGATGCTTTCTGCTTATGCTCATAGGTTATTTTTTCTGTGTAGGCAGGTAATGCAATGGTCCTGAATGCTAGCAAATCTGCTGTCCATGACTCAATGCTAACTACTTGTAGCATTAGTTTATTGTGGTGAGCAAATGACCAGTTTTTACTGTTAGGCATTATCTAGTCAGTTCTGTATTTGAACAATAATGTGCTCTAATGTAAATATTGTGGTCAATGCTACTAATTAGCTAGCTATTAATTATTGAATGTGTTAGGATTCATATTTTTGGGGGGATTGTAGACACACTGCTTCTGGAGTATGCATGCTATTCTGGCTGTTGGTTGTGGGTATCCAATGTTGAGAGCTGGCTTTCATGTATTTGATCATGTGTTTGATGCTTGAATAGACCTATTCTCAAGATGAAGTTACTGAGACTGTCTGGACAAGTGGATCTTCAAAAAGTGGACCTCTGCAGGCATTTTCTAGGGAGTCTACAAGAGTGTCAAGAAGAACACCAAGGAAAAGGGTGATGAGAGGCTTATTATAATAGACAAGCTTTTTTTCTCACTGTTAGGGTCCCAGTGGCTATTTTATTCAATTGTTTTCTTTTGTTTGTTTCAAACAAACAGGTGGAAGCTACAGCACAGTTGCCTGTAGATGATGCTGTAATATCAGAGAGTACTCCCATAACTGAAACTATATTGACTGCCAGCAACGAGACCCTAGTAAATATGTTTAATAAGTTATGCAAGTGGTATTCTTCTGTAATATATCTTTATTGTCAGAATCATTGTTTTGAACAGTTAGAAGATTCTTTTTAAGGAAAGTGAGACTACTGAATACCTATTCAGTATCTGTATTAGTATGTAATGCTGTTCACTTTGACATGGGACTAGGTAGACACCTAGGTCCCATCTAATGTCTTGGGGGGGGGAGAGTTGAAAAGAACCACTTTAAAAGCTTAGATCTTTCCTTAATTTATTTAAGTACATGCAGAAGATCTGCTTTTTTTGTGAACTAAATAGCTTTTATGTTTCTAAATGGCTTAAAAGAAACTACTTGGAATGATAAGCAATGTCTCCTGTGCTTATTTCAGAGTATCTGTTACATAACCTTCTTGAGTTAACACCTAACATGCATATATTCAATGCACATAAAGGTTTTTGTTGTTTAGTCCTGCCACCTTTCCCCCCTTTTGTTTTGTATTTTGGCTGATTCTGAGTTTGAACAATTTTGAATCTTGGCAGGTTGTCAATAGGGCGCCTGGAAATTTCAAGCATGCATCTCCTACGCTGTCAGTCAGTGAACTCTCAGACACGCCCAGAAGAACACCAAAGAAACCACTGCTGACAGCTGAAGTAAATAAATTAAAACTTAGATTGCTTTTGCTTACTCTCTGTGAACAAGATTCTTGGGTGTATGTGCTTACTCCTTAGTACAGAAGGGGTGGAAGATGTCATTACTTAGGTGGCACTAGTCAAACTAGTGTTGGCACATGACATAAAAGAGAAAATTTAAACTTCTCCTTTCAGATTTGGGTGGTGTGTAATGGAAGTCCTGCTTTTTTTTTTTTTTTTTTTTTTTTTTTTTTTTTTTTTTTTTTGGGTCTCCTCTTCTTTGTTTTCCTAAGCCAAATACGTTTTGGTGTTGTATTTCTCCTTGTGCTGCTATTTTTCTGAAAAAAATATATATTTTTTTTTTTCTCTAAAATTATTTGAATAGCTCAAAGATAGAGCAGAATTGGGTTATTACCTTTGATCTCATGAATCAGCCTATCCTGAAAAATTGGCATGTGCCTTAATTTAGAGAATCAAATAGTAGGATTATTTTAGAAAGCATCTGTAGATTCCTGTCAGTTATCAATAAAGTAAATAATTCTTTTACTGTTAACCTATTCAAGCTGTCAAAATTATATATCTTTTGGAGAACTTGCAAGTATATGTAATTGTATTAATGTAGTACTGTAACATTGTGGAATTTTACATTACAAGATAATGCTTGGCTGAACTTAAATGGCGTTCATTGCTTCATATAGTTCCTGTAGATAAAACTTGTATTGACACTTGTGAAGCCTGTTCTATCAATGGGTCTGTGATTTTAGAAATGGGCTACTTTATTTGTTTATCATGTGACTGGAATGTAGACTTAGTTGTCAAGTAGAAGGTTGTGGGAAAACGATGTTCTACTTCAAACTGCTTAAGGGTTGGTTTGGTTTTTTTTTAGTTAGTATTTTACTATTGTGTGGCATTGTTTGTTACAGCAAGAAGAGACAGATTGCCTGCATCAGTGTTTTTTTAATCATGTTGGCCACAACCAATCCTGTGATCTGCTCAATACAGCCATGATCAAGGTGATGGTTAAGTTTTTTTGATCATCTACGTCATTGGCTGACAGGTGTATTGTATTTATACAACATATTCTTTATCTTAAAGGAAACTGAGGAGAGCACTGAATATTTTATTAAGACACCAAGAGTGACCAGACAGCTGCCACTAAAAAAGGTTAAACTCACTTCTAAACCCCAAGTAGTAAACTTCTTGAATGTCACTGGGTGACTCATTCACTTTTACAAATCACACATGGTTATGGTCACTGAGATAGCTATATAGGAGCTTTTTTGTTTTGTGGTTTGTTGGGCCTAAAACTGTTTTTGGTTTCCTAGGTGCTGGAGAGAACTACAGAAGAACGAAGAGTAGAAAGGGATATTCTTAAGGAAATGTTCCCTTACGAAGTATCAACACCTACAGGAATTAGGTATTTCTAAGGCTGGGGGCTTCTTTATTGGTTCTCATAAACCTATTTAAGCTGAGAAGTATCCTTTTATTATATTGGTAGATTTCTGTGGGACAGTTTTTGCACTGTGGCTCAGTGACAGTTGAGATGACCACCTAGCTCTTTTGTATACATAGTTTTGTTAGCCAGAACAACCTCTCTATTTGAATTGGGGGTGGGAGAACAGGGTAGTAGTACAGTAGGAATTATTACTGGAACTTCTGGATGCTGGAAGTTAAGTGGAAAGGGCTTCTCTTTGGTATTTTTGACTGAATGCTTTAGGCCTGCTGTTAAATTAAGGAAAGGTCTCCCAGCATATATTTGAGCTTGCTTTTTGAAATCCAAAAAAGAATTTTCATATACCCTGTTTTTTACTTTAGCAGTCCTGTTGTAGTCAGTCTTAGCATGAATAAGGATGACACCTAGGAAGGGTTATTACATTTTTCTTTGCAGCCTTGTATTTAAACAAAAAATTGAAACAACCCTCTGGATGATAAAGCAGTTCACACAACTTTGTCCTGTTTAGAGAATATGAGAAAGAGTTAAGATGTGAAATCAACTGATGTATTTCCAACATGTTAATAATAGCTGCAGTTTAAACTGCAATTGTATAAAGTCTTACTATAAAGAGAAGTATATGGTACCAGTTACTACTACTATGGTGTATCTGCTCACTACTCAGTTCTGTTCTCTCTTGTTTTGAGGTCTGTCAGCCTAGTTAAATCTATACTGCTTTTTAAATAAAAATCATGCATGTGTACTCCTTGTATATAAGGACATGGCAATGTATGTGGGTTTCTTAGCCCTTACTGCTTTGCCTTCTGGCTCTCTGTATTGGCTTAGCCATCAGTAGGTACTTGAATGGCTGGGGACAATCTTAGGTTTAGAAATCCCGGTGGGACTGCGTAAGTGATCATTAAAACTCAGAGAGAGATGCTTCCTAGAGTTTTATTGCCAGTTACAATCCACTGATTATGTGAATAGGGTGAAATGGCATTTGGGTTTTTTTTAAGGGGTGTTTGCTTGAACACTGAATGATTAACTTTAACATGTCTATTATTACTATTTTTTAGAGTTTGAGACAGATATTTCGGGTACTGTGTTCACTAGAAACAATTTTTAGTTCTCGTAATTGTACTAAAACTTCCCTGTGTACCTTAGATTGCACTTCTGAAAACGCAGTATTTTAATTTTTTTTTTCCTCTTCAATTAGTGCTAGCTGCCGTAGACCAATCAAAGGAGCTGCTAGCCGGCCTATAGAGCACAGTGACTTCAGAATGGATGAAAGTTTCTCTAAGTACGTTCCAAAATATGGCACCTCAACTGACATCAAGTTGGAGAAGCCACCAACAAAAAAAGAACGCTCAGTCCCCCTGTGGATAAAAGTTCTTCTCTTTTTTATTGTTTCAGTCTTCTTGTTTTTGGTTTATCAGTCTATGGAGACTAATCAAGGAAATCCTTTCTCTAAATATATGAATATTGTCTCTCCAGGCAGTGCCAAATGAGTATCTTTCTGAAAGGCACACCCAATTTGATCTCCTGTTTTTAATTGTAGAGAACTCTTCTGCCCTCTCATTGGCTCAAGGACTTCTTAACAAACAATGTGATTGGAACCTGATAAATTGGATAAATGAAGAAAGATAATATTAAATGGACACCGGTAACTTTCTGAACTTTGGACTAGTAGATCACTTTGCCATAGGAGTAACGTTTTTTTAGATCTTTGAATTTTTTGTAGGCTTTATTTTTTTAATGTGGACATCCTTTTAAATTCATTTTTGAGAAACTGTATATTTGTTTTTGCAAGAACTTGGAAGCTGAGAAGGGCAAAAATGTAGTAAAATGTGAAGCTGTGGGGTTTTTTAAAGCTTTTCCTTTGTACAGAAAAGAAGTTGTACTTTTGTCTCTAGATTATTGTGCAGGATTTTAACACAGGTGATAAAGGGAAATGCATTTTTGTATGCATTTTTGAAGTAACAATGTAACTGAATTTGATCTCTTAGGATGTAGGGAGAGTACAACAACAACAACTTTTTCTGTAGGTTACTGTAACTTTTTAGTAAATGTAACTGTAAACCTGTTTGCATTTCTGTAAAAGTCTTAGTATCATATTAGTAACTCTGTTTAAGCGTTAACATCATTTAAATGTATCCCTTCATTTTAGTGCTTACAGTGTTGTAGGAGCTGAATACAAATCTAATTGGCAAGAGATGTCTTAGAGAAACTTATTTATTAGTAATATGCGTGGAAAAATAAAAATTGCATCAATATAATTTGCTACTAAAACACTTTTTTGGGTCAAGTTTTTTTTTTTTTTTTTTTTTTTTCTTTTTTAAAAAAGCGAGGTCTTTCCAACACAGCTTTATGTGATTATCTTTGAATATTCATGTAGAGAAGTATTCTCAAAGTGTGAAAATTCCATATGAAGTTTTATTCTTGTATGAAGAGGGCATTGCTGCATTTTCTGCTACAGTTTCATCTTCTAAGGTGAGATTTACTACTTTCATGCAGCTGAATATTTTTCTCAGTGGAAGCATGCTGAAACTCTATATTGTATAACTTAGTTGAGCAGGCAGCTGACTTCACTACTACCAATGAAGAGTGATAAGCAACAGGTTTTTTAAAGTGAATGTATACATTTTGGTGCGCTTAAATCTGCAGCATACAGGTGTTCAGTCTTACTGCTTGGTACAAAATTGCAATAAATCATATTACTTATTCTTAAAGTGCTACTTATAAAAAGCTGAGAACGTTAATAGTCATTATCTTTTTACTCTAGGTACAACTGTTGTGTAGACTATAGCTATGGGGAAGCTTTACTTTCTGTGAACTTTGGGACAAACATGGTAATTCATAGCAAAGCAATAGTGGGGGGGGTTCTGTTTAGATTAATGTTTTTTTTTTTTCCTTTTTATCTGCTTTTTTGAGTAATCCAAATAGCTAAAGTTGTGTCCATCCTATAGAAAATTGTAACATAAGACATTCACTTTTGGTGTCAAAATGCAGAAAAATAAGAATGATTTTAATGTGTGTGGATTTTCCTTATCAAAATAAATGCATTGCTGAAAAGCAGCAAAAGCAAGACAGCTGATGTATCAGTGGTGTCATTTTGTGCTGCTACAGTCTTCCATGTTTAAAAAAAAAAAAGATAGTAAAAGAGCAGTTCATGCCAACACCTCAACACTTGGTGGGAAGAATATTCATCATACTTGCACTATAATAATAGTTTTGCACCACAATCCTTTAGCCTATGTTTGGTCTTTAATTTACATAGGGCGAGAAGCTGGTTAAGGAACTTCAGTGCTTAAGGAACTTACTTTTCACTTTAAATTTTCATCCTATTTTACTACATGTTTTATCATGGAATATATCTTTCTCTTCTAGTTACATGAAATACTTTCAGTTGACATCCTTCAGGGATACTATTAGCATCATAAAAAAACCCAATGAACCAAACCGAATTGCAGTGCAATTAAATGTTGTCATTCTTTCATTTATGCACTGTTTTGGAGAATCCTCTCAACATCAGTGTTACTTCACAGAAGGTAAAGACTTTTCTACATATGTCCTCAAAGTAACTTACCTGTAGCTCAGCTGTAGTTGGAAGACAATGCATCTTCAAGAAATGAGTGATATTCTTGAGGCATTTAACAGTGTGAGAGAGCCTTCAGAGTAATCTCTTCCTTCTTTATTCACTCTCCCTTTCTCACTCAGGCCTTAATATGGATGTACCAGCATTCCTAAAGCTGTTCGTGTTATTTTAAGAGTAACACATGTAGTAACAGTGCTACTAGCTGAATAGTTGCATGTGCCTTCTAAATACTGCTGTGTAAGTTACACTGAAGTATACTGTGGTCTTTGATACAAAGTGCTGAAACAAAAAAATAATTTTGTTCCCTTAGTTTATTGTGGCTTCTAGACAGAGCCAGGTTAAGCCTTCAGAACCAGTCACAAACTAGAGCAATTTTACGGACTGGTATTGTATAACTAAATTCCAGTTGCAAAAACTAGCTGAGTTCTGATGTAAATATTGCTTAAGTCCCTTTTAGGGCAAGAGCTACAAGAAGTCTGGAAAAACGTCTGTGTAAGTTAATAGGCATGGCAATGTTTTTTTGGGTTTGGTGGGTTTTGTTCTCATGATTGGTTCTACTGCTTAGAATGCTGTGCTGAAAACATGGCAAATTTGATTTGTCTGTCTGAATTAGAGCTTTCTAACACAGCTTGTGCTTTTTCCTTTAAATTGTGTGCTAATCTTTTAACATGCAGCCAGTCTCAGGAGTCTGTTATCAGACTGTGAATAACGAGGATATTGCTTGCAGTGTGTGAGAGTTGTTTTGATGTGTGATCCATGGTAAAGGCTATGAGACCTTTACCTAGTGTCTGAGCCAAGAAACTTTCAAGAAGGATCTTAAATTTAAATTGTGTGTTTTGAAACCTTAATTTTTATTTAAGTAGAAAATGGTATGAAGGAACTTTTTCTTCCCTGAGTTTAACTGCCAGCAGTATGCTCAGTACTGCCCTACAGAATGCTTTCAGGTCCCTCCCAGGTTTGATCTACGTGTGTTTTAGTTTGTGTTTATCATGGCACAACTTAAAAAATCATGGTATTAAAACTCTCACTTCTTGCTAATTACCTTTTTGACTAGTTCTGTAGACAAATGATTTTTTTTTTTTAAAAAAGTGTTAACTAGTTTGTGCAAAGTTAAATTGGAAAAGCCAAGTACAAAAATAATGCCTTTAAATAATAGAGCTCAAAAAGGAGACTGTTAAGCAGAAAAAATGTGTAATTATAAACAAAGCTTGTAAAATTGTGCAGCATGTCTTATGTGAGGTATATTTGGCTTGCTTTGATATGACTGAAAAGCTTTTTTTAAAAAAAAAATATTAACCTGATTGATCAAAATAGATACAGGGCTGGATTGTGATGTATCATTTCTAATTCTGTTTACAAACTTTAGGCTTTTCAGCATACCCTTTGTTGTCAATACAGCTTTTACTGTATGTTTGGCAAATCTACCTATCTTTGCCTGAAAGTTTTGATTTTCTTTTTCCTTGGGGAGTGCAACAGCAGGCTACAACAGATGTATACATACATGCATGTGTTCATACAGCACAGGGTCTACAAGTTAATTCAACTTGTAAAATAGTCCTAAGGTGGCATATATAAGTACTATGTCTATATTTATATCAAAGAATAATTCCTCAGATTTTCTGTCCCACCTCACTTTGAAATTTGTTGTCAGCATTGGTAGTTTGTGGTTTAAAAATTGTATCTGCATTGCCCTTATTTGCTGTTTAGGAAAAATAAGATGTTTTATGGAAGAAAAATATATAACGTCTGGGGAGAATTTAGATTAGAAAAGATTATCAGATGAGGATGCTTACAGCAATGACTAACAAGAATAGGAGAGTTTTCAGAGAATGTGACTGCTGTCATTCAACCTAGCTAGTTTGGATCCTGTTGAAGGAGATCCTGCAGTGCTAAGGCTTCCCTTTGGACTGTGAAACCTATTTACAGCTTGAATTGATCTGTTACTGATTCTCTAGAACCACAGTCTGGTAATTCTGGCATTGATACAATGAGTATGTAAAATACATGCCTACAACAGGAGCAGATGCTACTTGTGCTAACCTAGATTATCAAAGATGTAGAATGTTGTTTCACTGACATATTTTTTGAAAACAATATCATCTGGAGAACAAGCTTTAAGAGCTTTGATTTTACTTACAGGCCTCACCAAAATGTTAGAGCTGTGAAAAGTTATTGTAAGACCATTTCTTGGTTGTATGCTGCTTGGGGAACGGAGAGGGGACGAGTGTGGTGGGTGTTAATAACAGAAGGGAGAGATCTAATTAGGAAAACTTTGGAGTTGCCAAACAGACATTTTCTTTCTCAAATTTGAAAAGCTACGGATTAAGGAAGATGGATTTAATTTACAGTAGCTCTTTTCGCTGTGAATCTGACAGGTGGATGCCAAAAGGTAACATCTTTCAGGTCTTCATCTATTACTACCTTCAGTGTATGTCATAAATCAGATTAAGCTAGATGGTTTGAATTACAGCTATTGTTATTTTATTATTTCACATCTGGGAAAAATTAAAGAGATTTCCTATGTAAAATGATATGCATTCAGCAGGGACATACATTATCCCTGTATTGTCATGGAGATATGTTAGACTTTGCTGTTTAATACTACAGATGTTAGAAGCTAACTCAGCTAAAACCAAAGGAACTGATCCACAAACTGTCAGTACTAATTGTGCACACAAATTGCCATAGGTTTATATAAATAGTCACATGTTCAACCTTCATATTTGGAAGGAGCAGAGGATTTCTGTATGTTAAAAATCAGAAAGTCTGCAAGAATAGCAATGATTGTAATTTCAATATAATATGTGTATTAATACATGATATATGTAATTTTATTTCATAAGATTATGAAACAAATTATAAGTTAAGAGCCCAAGTCTCAGTTATGTTTAGAGGTTATTAGCTAATTAAAAAAAAGTATTGGTGTTTGGCTTTTAGATAGAACATTGCTACCAACAGTTGTTTAGATGCACGTGAGTAGAGCAGAACAGGTAAGGGCAAAATGAACAATTCTGGCCTGTTTTCTATCAGTGGCAGTCTCCCAGCTGGTTGCTAATTGAAAGCATTTAAAGAATGCACGTTTCAGCTGACCCTTTTCCACTCGGTAGCTGGAGTCTAGTCTACTCAAGAGGGACTTGGCACTATCACAGAAGTCTGGGTTGGTTGTTTGGCATGTGTCATTTTTGCCTGCATATGACAGTCTACCTGGATCAACTTGGTTGTGAAATACAGCAAGCAGAGCCAAGTCCTAAGGTTGGTGTAGCAGGTCATCCTCCAGGAAGTTGGATAGGAGCCGCTCAGCTGACCGAAGGTATGGTGCCATAGGTGCTTTATCACTTGCTTTATGGCTCTGTGCCCAGAAGTAATAGCTGGGATATCCAGTGCATGCCTCCTGCTTTGCTGTCTTCTGTGTTTATGTTGTTAGAGCACTATAATGGAAAGAATATGACCAAGATGGTGAAAACTTGGGAGTTCTTACCTCTTCAGTAACTGGAGAGCTGAACTGTGCTCTGCCACTTTTGTACTATGTAAATCAACTGAGTGAAATCGCAGCATGTTAGAAAAGGCATAGTTTAAGGTAGTTAAGGCCAAGCATGGGTGCTGTGCTATGTAACATTCTACTTTCAACAAACCAGTAGCTAGTGATTCTTCTGTAACTGGATGCAGCTGTTGTAGCATAGGCGGTGTCTAGATGCCTTGCAAGCTTGACCTCCAGAGGTGAAATGCAGCTGTAACGGCTACAGGTAGTACATTTGGTGGCCTTACTCCTGACCATGCCTGGGCTTGCACCTTGCTGTGGCAGGAGTGTGATGAAAGGGCATAACCTTTTATTAGAGAGCTGTGTCTTGCAGCTTTACCAGGCTGTGATTAAAGTATTACTAGATGCAAATAAACAGAACTGGAATCTGGGGCGATGCTGAGGTCTTCTTTAATAGTAAAGACGGGGTGTGATTCAAGGCAGGCCTGCGGGTGCCAGCAGCAGCGTGCTGCCACAGGGGCGATGTGCGTGCGGTGGCTGCAGAGCAGACGCTGGAGAGCGTCTCTGGTTTGACATTGCCCTGGGCTGTAACAGCTGCCCGACGGCTGCGGGAAGGACATGGACTAACCGGCAAGCACCCAGAGAGGGGCAGCGCGAGGGCAGGACCAGTTCTGGCAGGGTTTCAGGCAGGGAGAGCGCACTGAGAGACCCTTGTCTACCCAAAATACCCCGTCTCCCTGCCGCTGCGCCTTCCGCCCGCGTTGCTCGGGTCTGTCGCGGCTGCGGTGCCAGCCTGGCCTCTGCA